AACTTTGGGCTACCAGTGATTGATCTTGGGCTACCAGATTTAAAAAGTGATAGCCATGATGGACTACCAAAAAAATAAAAAGTTAATTGCGAGCTCTGAACTCTAATTGCAGTTTAGTGTGTATGAGTGCTATAACCAATCTTACAACTATAAACCACTTACTACTCTGAATTTTGCCAGGCTCAGCCCATCTGCCCTGTTCCATACTTTGCATGCTAATGTGACTAAGGGATAAATAAGTATGGACGACAGAGGTATAATTAGCTGGTACTACGAATTCCCGTACTGAGTTTATTTACCAAGATTACACAGGAGAGTGACACTGTAAATTACAGGAACTAAAAACCTAAAAGATATGAAAATACAATAATTTTATATTGAGAAAATTAACGATAATTCAAAATAAAAAAAATACATTTCACACTAATACTGGAGTCGCCATTCAATGAAAGCGAACAAAAGATTAGTTAAAGCACATGTCAGGAACAAATGGGTGCATGGTCATGGAAGCACATGGCCAGAACAATAGAAACAATCTACATACCCTGTCAGTTGGTCAAATCTAACAAATTCCACACAGTTTGGCTTGTACCGGGGTAGGAGTTAAAACTTTCTACGCAGTTGAAATAAGCTGGATGGTTCAGTGGTCAGAGAGGTGAAAGGACAAGATGCTCCTCAGACGAGTCCAGTGATGTTACTGACCCAAACTGACTTCTCACTGCTTAGTTTTATGGGAAATATGCAAATTACTTCTACTTACTCATTGTGCGTCCTTTGGCAATTTTCCATAATAACTAATAAATTAAATTACTGAAAATACACAAATCATATATCTTAAATAAATGGTTTAAATACATATCTACATTATCAAAAAAAGTCAGTAGAAATAATGAAAAATATTACAGATTAAAGGGGCACTGAACTGTGGAGTTTATTTCACGGACTTAATGTGATTTTAATCAAGTCTGAATAAAAATTTGAACTATCCTTTGAGCTTATTGTTTTTTATAACGATTTAAAAAAGACACGCAAAGCAGACGACATTTGCCCCGTTTCACACGGAGAGCCGCTGCTGGGGGTCCATTGTTTCAGTGACGTAGTTAATGAACCACCCTGATTGGTCAACGCTATAGTCCATGTTTTCACTGTATTGCTTGCCAAACTTGTAGTGTTATCTATGGCAGATTCAAGCGACTATGATTATGACAGCTCTAGTGAAACTGAAATTGTAGTTGATAGTGTCTCTGTTGTCAAACCCTACCAGTTTGAGACGAAATACTGGCCTGGAGAGGAAAGAGAGAGTAGCAATGATACGGACACTGACAGCCCGAGTATAGATACGGAGGAAACTGGCGAGTAGAGAGGCTTAATACGATAGACTGGTGTACTTGCAAAAAGTGCTTGCCGATGTCATCGCCTGTAGTCTATTTGGAATTTCGAAATGTCAGGATTGGATGTAAAATGTGAAAATAACGCAGGGACAGTGTCAGACCTCAGTTTTCTTTTATGGGTTGTGCGAAGAACTTCATGCTGAAAAAATAGAAGAACTAAGTTAACATAAATTTATGTTAATAAATACAATTTTAAAAATAAAATACAGAGAAAAAAATAGTAGGGGCCTGTGTGCCCTACTTTAGTAGAACAATCCCCGGAACAACCTGAACAACTCATTGCGCCGGCAGAATTTTTATGTTTTCCTAGTCTTCGTGTTTATTGTACCATGGACCTACTGGAGGCCCGACTAGAGGAACACCGCCACGAACTCCCAACTGTTTATGTTAGGCTTGACCATTTCTAACACTGAAAGCGTTTACTGAAAGTTATAATGAATACTACGATATTACCAACAAAGTGTAGCACAGAGTGTGTGCAATTTCCGCCTGTACATAAAGAAGTGCCGTGATCGAACCTGTGAAACCAAACATTTCTTATGACAGGTTTCCGAAATGATAGAATAAGATAATTTTCAAAATCAATTATAGACTGGCCACGTGGGGTTATTTTTCACACACCATATAATCCACAGAAATGTGATATTTTGCTCAATATTTTGGCTTACCAAATGTGTTGTGTGTCATTTCCACCCTTCTCTGAGTCACACACCGATTAGTGCCTACGATTGCGACACCACTTTACTAGACTTAATATTTATTTTTTCTCTTGTACAATCACCACAAATGGCTCAAAATGTTAATTTAACTTTGGGTATTTTTTCATAGCACCGAAATTTTTAGCTCTGCTGTTGACTTTGTCGCGGGAGCTTATCATATGAGTGATTGTTCGTCCGTCGTCATCCATGTCAATGTTTTACTTTTTCGACTTCTTGAAAACTACAAGCCTGAATGTTCTGATACTTGGTGTATATGTACCTTGGGTAGACCTCTCTCAGATTTGTTCATTTCATGATCATACATGTATCTTCAATTCTCTAATTTTGGTGAATATATTTTTGTCATTTTTGATAAAAAGTGATATTTTCGACTTCTTGTTAAAAAACGCAAGTCCAATTGCTTTGATATTAAATATATAGGTACTACATGTGCACCTCTCTCAGATTTGTTCATTTTGTAATGATATTTTCAATTCTCTAATTTTGATGAATATTTTTGTCATTTTGGGTAAAAAGTGATATTTTCTTCTTGTTAAAAACCACAATCATTTATGGTGAAAAATGATATTTTTGAATATTGTTCATTTTCTAATGATTCTTCAGTTCTTTAATTGCCAAATGTGCATTGCTAACAAGCGGAGCTATCTCAGCCAATAGGCTGCTAGTTTTGTTTTTATTATAACACAACTTAATTACATCAAATCTCTCTCGAAACAGTCATCTCCAAAATGTTCTGAACATAGCCTGGTATGAGCATTTACGACGAGATTCTTTCTTCTGCCTGCCAATTTTTCGCAGCCAATGGTCCCTTGGTTCCTTTTCTCGCTTGGAATTGGGTAAAATGTAACACTGTTGAATCATTGTTGTAGCCAAAGGTGGAACACATCACCATGATGTACATACATGATGTAGTTGATACAAGAACATTTTTATATTACTGTCGACGCTGAGCACATAAAAGCAGCACTACCAATAGTTTCTGGCATACTTCCAATTGACCAATCAGGGTGTTTCATTAACAACGTCACTGAAACAATGGACCCTCAGCAGTGGCTCTCCATAAGAAACGGGGCAAATGTCGTCTGCTTTGCATGTCTTTTTAAATCATTTTAAAAAACAATAGACTCATAGGATAGTTCAAATTGTTATTCAGACTTGATTAAAATCACATTAAGTTCGTGAAATAATCCCTAAAATT